GGAGCTCTCAGGGCCCCGGGCGCTGGCGACCAGCAGCGTGGCCTTGGGCAGCAGCTTTCTCTTCAGCAAGCTGCCCAGCAGGACGGCACCGGCTTCTCCTCCTCCAGTCCCCGCAGGTGTCACGGATGAGTGACCCCGAGGGGACCCTCAGCTCATCGAAACCGTCCACGACAAACAGGACCTTCCGCCCCTGGGCCAGGATCGCGCTGGCTCCCGGGCACCCGGGCATCTCTCAGCTATCAGCTCCTCGAGAGTGCTCCCGGCAGCTGAGATAGAAGGTGGCACCGGGTGTCCCGGGGGCGTTGCCCTGTGTCCAGTCCAGCATCCACTTCTTGGCCAGCGTGGTCTTCCCGAGGCCGGCCGGCCGTGCAGCACCACCATGTGTGGAAAGGGGCCTGCGAGCTTTTTCGGGTCACAGAAGGGGACCAGCCTCTCGTATCTCTGGGTGAATTGATGGAGGTTTTCACTGGCTCCAGGCCAGAGGCCTTTCTCCCCGATGGGCCCGAATGTCTTCGACATCCTTCCGTATACACCCCGTGAACCTTCAGGGACAGGAGAAAGGGGATGGACAGATAGAGCTGGTCAATCATTAGGAAAAAAGTGCTTTGTGTTACATGGGAAAGAAAAACACGGAGAAGCAAGGCTCCCGAAGAGCCGCCTGCCACCGGGCTCTCTCCTGAAAGGCGTGGGACAGACCTGCTTTGCTCCTTCCAGACTCCCCCTTAGTTCTTCTGGGCTCGTGACACTTTCTCCCTGTACTTGTGTGAACTCTGGAAAAGAGAAATTAAAGTGCGCGTGACACACGATAGGTGTGCCCTGCAGACAACGGAGTATTACACGGCCACGAAAAAGAACGAACTCTTGCCACCTGCAAAGCTCTGCAAAATTTACTGGAAATTATTACTAGTGCACTTGGCGTGAAAGACATGATGCACCAATTATAGTTGGAAAAAGCCAAGAAATCCCGCCACCCGGCAGGCTCGAGAGAAGGACGCGTGTTCAACGGCCCAGATCATCCGCTGGGGCGAGGCTTCACCGTGGAGCTGGGCGAGGGCCTCAGTTTGCTAGAACTGAAGTCGCCTGAGCATGTTCAAGTGCAAAATCTAAGAGAAACTCTCGCCAAATACTCCTACTTTCCTAGGAGCTGAATTCGAATTCTTCTCAGTCATCCTCCATGAGACAGTTGGTGATTGTAGATAGCGGAGAAAATGAGGGGGGACGGGGAGGAGGGGAGCCCTGGGCACCGCTGGTGGGAGCGCAGACGGGCCGCCGGCGCGGGAACCAGGACGCAGGGCCCTCAAAACGTTAAAAACGGAGCTGCCTTAGGACCCAGTGACCCCACATTTGAAAATATACCCTAAGAAACCGGAAATGCTAAGTTGAAGGACTACATGCCCCCCACGTCCACAGCGCGTTCATTATTCACGACGGCCAGGATCCGGGGACAGCCGCGCCCACCGGCGGGCGAGGGGAGAGAAAGCCGCAGGGCGTTCACGCCACAAAATGTGGGTCTCTTACCGTCTGCGACGGCGCCCAGGGACCCGGAGGGTGTTGCGCTGAGTGAAAGAATCGAGCGAGAGAGAGACAAGCACCCCGTGACCTCGCTCGTAGGGGGAGTCTAGCGAACCGAATAAACTGGTGAACAAAGTAGGCCGAGGCCGGGGAGCAGGGAGCAGACTGACCCCCGAGACGCCCGCACAGCCTCCAGGGTGCAGGCCGGGGCGTTTCAGAAGGAAAAAGCCAGCGGTTACACTGGGAATGAAGCGCTTCGTTCCCCGGGAGAGAGAAGGGAAATGGCCCAGACCCGCCTGTTTCAAGGCTGCGGATCGTTGGGCAACACTCGCTGTGGAACCGCAGCGGAGGCGAGAAAGGTGGCGGTGGAGCGGGTCTCACGGGGACAGCGCCACCCCCGGGCGCCCGGTGGCCGCCTTTGCGCTGAACCGAGGCCGAGGCCCAGGGGGAAGCGGGGGCACCGTGACCCCGTGACACGCTCACAGTGAAACACATTTAAGAGCGTAAGTGGGGCACTTATGGGTGGAATCAAAACCAAATAAATAAACAAAACTGAAGCAGACTCAGACACAGGACAGACGGACCGAGGGCTGCCAGAGGGGAGGAGGCCTGGGGGGAAAGGGGGGTGAGAAGCACGCGGTGGTTACGGGACAGTCGCGGGCCTGAGGTGCCGCCCGGGGAACATGGTCACAGCGCAGTAACCACGGGGGGCCGGGGGCCGGGGCCGGGCTTATCGGGGGAACACGTCGTGAGCTATATAAATGCCCAACCCCGGCGCTGTAGGCCTGAGAGTAATTAAAATAGCGAATATCCATGCAATCAAAAAGTGAAATGAAAAGTAACTAGGAAAAAAGGAAATGCAACAGGAGGGGGTGGGCGGGAAGAGATTAGCCAAATAATTTATAAGCGTAACCCGCGGGCACCGGCGCGGTGAAGGCGGGGGAGGCGGGAGCGGGGCACGGGGCCCACGGGGGGAGAAAGGGGCACATCTGTAGTACTTTCAACAATAAAGATAAAATTTAAAACACGCAGCTGCAGATTCTTAGCCCTGGGCTCGACCTTTCTGCCTTTAATTAGCCTGCGTTTTATTTGCACCAGGACCCATTTAATAGCAAAAACGATTCAGCTGCATCACGGAGGCCGCGGGTCAGAGAAGGACCCAACTTTCCCTGGCGTTTAGCAGACGAGCTCCCACCAAGAGTGGTTTCGGGGAAAGCGTCGGGCCAGACGCTGGATCGCGAAGGACGGGAGCGGGCGCGAGGGGGTGATGCGGGGAGGGCGCCGACCGCCACGTCCAGGGCGGTGGCCCAGGGCCGGGGAACCAGGGACCAGGCGCCGGCCTCGGGGCAACGGGAGCTTCGGGCCTAGACTCCCGAGTGCGTCTTTGCCCCGGAAACGTTGCGAAGGGCACACGTTTCACGGAAAATGCGCCGTTTTCTGTTGTTCTCGTCGGGGCAAGTGAACCCAGTCGACACGTTTACCCGGGGACCTTGGCAAACGCGGGCTCGGCAGGAGAAAAGAAAAGCCGCTCAGGGTGGCGGAGCCAAGGCCGGTTCCGTCTTTTCCCAAAGCGAAATCTGACTTGAAACTTCAAAAGTTAAAACTACAAACGTTAAAAAAAAAAAAGAGAGATGATAGATTTTTACTGTAGACTCGGCCGGACGCACTCACCTCCGGCACCCGACCCGCTCTCTGGCCACTGAGCGCCGAGGTCTGGGAACCTTCCCATAAAAAAGCCTCTGTTTTCGCCCCAACTCTGTGATCGGCCCTCGGGACCCAACCCCATGGCCGGGAAGACCCCGCATCCGGCGTGGTTAGCGACGGGTGGAGGCCCTTCCTTCCACGCGAGCGCCGTTTCCTCAGTGTCCTGGGACCTGGCAGCGGATCCACTCCCCTGCCTCCAGCGTCGCGTTCAAGTGCCGGCGCCCAGAGGTTCTGACCCGGCCAGTGGAGGCCAGGGCTCGTCGGGGAGCCCAGGTGCCTGCAATCGCCACCAAGCTCGGGGCCTCGGCCGCGAGGAGCTGCCTCCTGCTGCATGCAGATTTTTAAAAAATTGATGAGAGAGAGAGATTCGTTGTTCCACCTATTTATGCACCCGTTGGATTCATTGGCTGATTCCTGGGTGCGCCCTGCCAGGGACTGAGCCCACAGTCTTGGCGCATCAGGACAGCGCTCTAACCAGCCGAGCTTCCAGGCCAGGGCCCGGGTATTTTATTTTATTTTTATTTATTAATTTTTTAAATATATCTTTAAGAGAGAGGTAGAGAGAGAGAGAGAGAAACCTCAATGATGAGAGAGTCGTTGATCGGCTGCAGCCTGCAACCCGGGCCTGTGCCTTGACCGGGAATCGAACCCCGATCTCCTGGATCCTAGGTCGACGCTCACCGTTGAGCCACCCCGGCTGGGCCACAACATTTTTTTTGTGTGTGAATGTCTGTGTGAGCTTGTGTGTTTCTCTGTGGCTATTTAAAGAAGACTGAACTGAGATTTCCGGAGAATTCCTCCTTGTGTAACCAACCCTGAGGTCAGGTTCCCCAAACGTTGCCTCGAACGTGACTCACATCTTCTATTTTGAGAGGTGGTGCAGGCGGTTCCCAAGAAATTCCGCACAACAGATGCTTCTCACAACTTCGTTTTTTTTTTTTAAAAAAAAAATTAGGTTAGAAAGTCACAGAGGTGGAAGAAGTGAGCGGTAGAAGAAATGGGCTCGGGAAACAAGTTCCAGAGGCAAAATAGGGGGCCCTTGGGGCTTGG